TAGGACATTACCAATGTTAATACACAATAATAAAATATGCTGTATTTTTAACACAATAATACAAAATTTACTTTTCAAAATTTTTCGGTGCTACTTTGGTAGACGGTCGCATGGATTTTGGCGATTTCCCTTTGGCGAGTAATACAACTTATGGTAAACCCATTGCTGGATAAGTTATTTATGGTAACCGATACTTTGTTGTCATTTTATTTAAAAAATAATGCGTTTTTTGTGCATAAATTCCATGTTTAAAATATTATTTATGGCTTTTAAATATTAAAAATCAATTTAATTTTGCATTTTATTTGAAATAAAAATTTATTGTTTATCATTTTTATGAAATTTTATGTTGTGGATGATGTAATCAATGACGTCACCTTACTTTAAAAGTAATTCATTTTAATATGTATAAATTTAATCTAATGTTTTAAACATTATTTATGGCTGTTAAATATTAAAATACAATTTAATTTTGCATTTTTAAAAAAATGATTTTATTATGTGTGAATTTTTAAATAATTTTAATTCTAGCCGTGATGTAATAAGCTCTTTGATTGGTTATAGAATATTTGTGCATTAACGAGCTGTAATCAGCTCCCTGATTGATTACAAATTGTGCATTTCCGCGCCGTTTTAAAATTTAATTCATATCTTCGAATTCCTTCAAAGATGTTATCTAAATTATGATTCTGATTTTTTTGTGGTACTTATCAATAAACAACAGGTTAAATACTCAAAAAAATGTAAGTACATATTTTTCTTTTATTTTATAATTGTATACTTCAATTTTTGTTAAAAAAAATTAATACACTATTTTCAGAAATTGCTGAGATAATTATTATCCATATGTTTTAATGTTAATTATATCCTATATAACGTATTTTAAAGTATTTGAATTTGATAATATTCTAATTCTTTTAAATGTTGATAGGATGGTTTTTAATTCGATATTCAATTTCAGTACTATTTTAATCTAATTAAACGTTGGCCCAATGTTTTTATAGCGGTGTTTTTATTCTCTTCTTTGCTATATGAAAGTAATAATAACCTTACTTTAGTATTTTATACTCATAGTAAATGTATTTATTTACACTTGCCTGCAGTCTTAAAAAACGACATTTTCAACAAAAAATTAATCCTTTACTTTTAACGATATTTATTTTTTTAAAGTTTCGAATACTTTACTATGCGTAAAAACAGCGTTTTTCAAGATGGCTGACGTTTCTTAAGCCCGCGCCAACAATTGCGCCAATGTACATTGCCAAAAATCCGTGCAACCGTCTACCAAAGTAGCACCAATTTTTCTTTAATGGATAACACATTACAGCTTTTTCCAATATTAGATGCACTGGTACTATCATCACTTTTACACTTAGAAGACATTGTAATGTAAATAACAAATTTTCTGTTCATGAGAACTGCGATATAATGTCACTAATGAGAAGAGAGAGATCGTTAAAAGAACTGAGTGAAATTTAACAAGGAAATCTGCACACATTAGAGAATGTTAGAATTCAGATTTTTTTTTACCACTGATAGCCAGAATTCCTCGCTGACACTTTTACAACTGTCAATTAATAAAAGTGCAGTTCTGACAAGTCACAAGGAAGGAAAGCCTTATTTGCTGTGATAATACCAGGTGCATTTTATGACACTTGCAAGACAATATGAAAATAATATTTAAAACCTACAATATAATGCACGTTTTTCACACAACGATACAGTCAAAAGTCGTTAATCCGGACTCGTCGGGACTTCGGCGATTCCGGATTATAGATTATCAGTTCAAATCTGGTAAGATGGCATGCAGAAATTATAAAATTAAAAATATGAAACCGTAATTTATAAAATAAAGAACAATTATAACCTAAAGGGTATCAAAATTTACAAAAAAAAAAAAAGCTTAATATTTATTTGTTTACTTTATTAAACATTTCTTTCAACGTAAGCTGTTTAAGTTGCGTCGTTTTTTATGTGATAATACATTCTCTTTAATTTTATAAACAGATATAATTTCTTGTTCAGTTACAAAATTCATTAAACATTTCTTTCAATGTAAGTTGTTTAAGTTGCTTCGTTTTTTATGTGATAATACATTCTCTTTAATTTTATAAACAGACATAATTTCTTGTTCAGTTACAAAATTCCGCTGTTCAAGTCCTATAATTGCTGTGTCTACCGACTAATGTGTCAATCGAAATTTTTTGGTTTTTAATAACCTCTGTCACTTTCTTCGCTATCGGAAGCGAATTATAATGACGAGGAATTTGATTTAAATCATATCAAAGACGGAGTACATTGAGATGAAATACTACATTTAGTAAGGAATTATAAGCCAAATAAAATAAAAACATCTGCCCTGAAGATAAGGATAGTGCTGACAGATCAACTTCCAATTTCATTGTGCGCCGCGGCGTTAAAGATAAACAAGGTTTAGATAAACGCTAAAGATTGGATAAACAAACGCTAAAGTTTAAATAAACAAAGTATATGCCTTTATCCATTTTTTTGCAGTAATTCCACTTTTTGTTTAATGAACTTTGAAACACACTTTCGCTTTGTAGATCCTTTTACAATTAATAAATATATATCAGAAATTCTATTTGACATAATCGAAAGTTCAAGCTTACTTTAAAAATTGCTCTAACAGTCTGCAAAAAAATAATAAGCCGGATCCAATTCGAAGATTAAGGAAACAACGCAATCTGCAACATTAACTGAAATAGATAATTACATAATTTTAGCTTAGCTTATGCCGTCCATTATACATTAAATGCGCACTCGTAAATGTATTTTGTGCACAAGCATATTCGCAACCGTAAAGGTCTTACGCAGCGTCAGGCCGTAAAGGGACGAGCAGCCGTAAAGGTCTTACGCTACTCGTCAACGCGACGCATGCACAGAAAGTTTGTAGCTTTGAGGTCCGGATTATAGATCATTCCAGATTATGGGTGTCCAAATTAATGACTTTTGACTGTATATCATTTAGGTTAAGATAGATTACTTGAATATGACAAAGCCACATGGGTTATCCACCTACAAAGAAATACTTGATTTCTGGACATTCTCTTTACTTAACAGGTAACTAGTAGAAGGTTTTCTTTCGATGAGAAGGCGAAAAAGTATGAAGAATTTAAAATTGGATAGTAGTGCAAATGCAAAACTCCTAAAGCCACGTGATTCTGATTAAATGGATCAGTCTAAGCTTTTTCAGTCGGCCTATGCATATATTGCTTTAAATCTTTCATTCGTAAGTGGGCTTGTTATATGACAAGGATTAAAAAATACAGTCTAATACCGAAAATCCGCGGACCTGAAATCTGCGCTGCCTCTTAAAATATAAACAATTAGTTTATAGGTTCCGGAAACTGCAATATGGAGTACGAAATATCGAAGAAAAAATACTGGCTAATGATGTCATAATAATGAGTCATAACAGAAATACCAAATTATTGACACCATGATAAGAGTTCTTTCCCCTCCAATCTGCATATGCAAGGTATAAAAGCAGACGATTAACTCTTCTTTCAAGTTCCCGCTGTTGTACTTTCTGAGCTTTGTTATTTCACAAGATCGTTTAGTAATGTCGTTTATTTTACCCGGACATTTTGTGGATACATTAAGAATATTTTTAATTTCAGCGCTTTTTAATACACTGATAAATAAGAAACGCACTCATGATTTTACTGCTTGCAACATTGAAAAACGTAAACATGTTGCATTGACGGTAATTAAAAAAGTGGAAATTCCTTCTAAAGGTGGAGGCACGTGCTACTGCTGGATTTATAGCAGAATCCTATGGAATTGCCACAGGGACTGTGTATGATACACAAAACAATGAAGAAAAGCTGTTGAAATTTTACAGCAACAGTGATTCTAACACCGGAATCCAAAACCGGAAATCCTTACATGAGGCGAAATCGGCAAACCTCGATGCTGTCTTGTCTTGTACGAGTGGTTCCGGCAGCGTCGGAGTGATGGGGTACCTATTTTGGGACTATTCCTGAGAGAAAAGGTGAAGCAGATTCATGCTAGTTAAAAAATAGAGGAGCGTAATGTAAATAAACATATAATATAATCAGTTATATATGTAACAATAATATAAATACATATAATTATTGATTAATGTATATAATAATTAAATTAAATGTATCTAATACGCCTTATTTATTTTGCACTTTTAGTCTGAATATTATCTTTTCTATCCTGAAATCCACACAACTTCTGGTCCCAAGCGTTGCGGATTTCTGGACTTCTACTATATTGCTTTAGATCAACATTCCTTTAAAATCATCTAGGTATCTTGCAGACATACTCATCTTGCTTAATGAAGTATAAGGTTTATACAAACAAATAAATAGTTTATTAAGCATTTAGAATAAGCAACAAATTACATACCTGATTTAATGAGGTTATTTAGCAGTATAGACAAATCCTTATTGCATATATAATTAAAGGTTTTTATGAAACTCATGTGTCTTAAAAACATATAAAGCTTCTTTCTATATAAATACACATTTCTTTAAATTCTTTATCCCGCCAAACAACTTGTTATATAACTCATGATTTTCTCTGCTGCGTGGATAAGAACATACTTGTTTAAACTTTCATTTTAACTTCCTACATATCTCATAAATACAAAGATTTTTTTCCTTGTGGAAATATGCAAAAGATTGTTTAAATGAAATGCCTAATTCTCCAGCCAGCAAGGACATACATGTGTGGCTTTTTCTAGCATCACTCAATGCATATATCTGCATCTTGAAATATGTCTGGGAAATTAAAGTAGTGTATTAAAACAGATAGATTTGAGGTTAAAACTAAGAGCATTCTGGTATTTTAATTCAAAATACCTAATTCTCATCGTAGGGCTAAAGTGCAGAATCGCCCACTTATTTGTTTGGTGCTTTTTACAAGAGCACGAAGAATTGGATTTTTGTCAATTTTCTTTGACATTTTAAGTGAAAATAGGTCGATGTGTACATGGATTAAGTCAAGAGAGTGCACAATGCCATTTTGTGAGCAATTCTGGGATTTTTTTTTTAAGTGAAAATGGGTCGATGTGTACATGGATACTGAGTATGTGCAATTCTTAAAAACGTATGAAGCAGTGGGTGATTTTGCAATTTCCCCGTAGTTTTCAGAAATTTAGGTTTTAGACCCAAATCCTTCTGTGGTCAAAGAGTTAAACACCGTTTTAACACATGGCAAAATCAAGGTTTATCACCTGCGTGCATACGCATATGTTTGTGTAATATATCTTTACGCGCAAATGACTTCTGACATACCTCGCACACATGAGGTTTCTTTCCTGTATGAATACGCAAATGTCTCCTTAGAGTAGCACTTTGTCGAAATGATTTTTTACACACTTCGCACTGGTAAGGTTTCTCTCCTGTGTGAATAAACATATGCTCCCTTAAATAACCTTTATGAATGAATGATCTGTTGCAAATTTCACACACATAAGGTTTGTCTCCTGTATGGATACGCATATGGGAGTTTAGTTCCCATTTTGGTCTAAATGATTTGTTACAGACTTCGCACACATAAGGTTTCTCTCCTGTGTGGTTAAGCATATGCAAGTTTAATTCCCATTTCTGTCTATATGATTTGTTGCATACTTCACACACAAAAGGTTTCTCTCCTGTGTGAAAAAGCATATGCCGATTTAAATCACTCTTCATTCTGAATGACTTGTTACATACTTCACACACATGAGGTTTCTCTCCTGTGTGGAGAAACATATGGTTGTTTAAAGCAGGCTTTTGTGTAAATGACTTATTACATACCTTACATACATGAAGTTTCTCTCCTGTGTGTATAAGCATATGCACATTTAAATTACCTTTATAAATAAATGATTTATTACATACTTCACATACATAAGGTTCCTTCCCCAAGTGAATAGGCATATGGCGAATTATATACTTCTTTTCAGCAAAAGACTTGTTATGTATCTCACCCACATTAAGTTTCTGCCGCTTATGAAAAAGCACATGGGCGTTTAAATTGCTTTTTCGTCTAAATGGTTTGTTACAAAATTCACATACATGAGGTTTCTCTCCTGTATGAATAAGCATATGCCTAGTTAAATCACCTTTTTGTCTAAAGGAGAGGTTACATACCTCACACACATGAGGTTTCTCTCCAGTGTGAATAAGCACATGCTTGAGCAAACTACCCTTCTGGCTAAATGTTTTGTTACATACCTCACAGACATGAGGTTTCTGCAATGTGCGAGTAATCATTTGCTTGTCTGAAGTATAGTTTAATTCAAATGTCTGATTGTTCACCTCGCACATCATATTTCTGTCCTGCATGGATACGAGTTTAATGCTTTTAAAATATTGCTTTTTCTAGATGTTCTGTTACATAGCTCCTAGGCCTGAACTCATGCGTTCTATATATAAAGGAATCTTGATATTATTTAACTTGCATATGTCATGATGTTATTTTTGTTTTGCACGGATGTAACAGGGGTTGATTAAGTGAAAGTTTACCCCGTAGTTGTTATGATTTCTGTAAATAAATTTCACAACATAACATCATGGTCGTGAATGGCTCTTTGGTATTTCAATCAATTAAGCACATCTGCTATATGTAAAGTTTGGATGGAGAAAACTGCATCAGCCAGCTATTATGACGAACTACCACAACAGCAGTCAAGAAAGTAAGAAAGCTGCGGTGAACTATTCATGCCTGTCTCTGAGAAGAACAAGAGACTAAAAGAAAGAACCACAGTGGATTAATTCAACATGTTTCTAATTCTATCACAGGTATACCTAAGGAAGCACAGGTAAATCCAATGAAAGTACTGGTCATTCACTGCAATAGCATTACTGCTATAATGTTTCTTAACATTATATTTCTTGTAACTAATGACCAGGCGTTACCTTTCAATTTTCCTTTGGTTATATTAATTCACTATTTTTATTACTTGAATGGGGTGCATTAAATAAGGGTTCATTTGTACAGATTTTGCTTTTATTTAACACAGCATCTGATTAAATGGTTGTTTCTTGCCAATACAACCGAAAATAGTTCTTGGATGCTTCAAGCAAGCATTCAGTATCCTGTACAAATACTTATGACTATTTTCATAAAAGCAGCGATATATATTGTGCACAAGACTTACCTAAGGAATGATACAAGCAAGCCATAATTTCTAGTAGCACTCCATTAAAAATTAATTTATTATAATTCACACAAATATAACTGTTCTTCCTCGAGTAAATGCTTAATTATGAATTTAGGCTATATAACGATTACGTGAAATTCTTTTTTTTTTTTTTTTTTTCCTAGAGCTGTCGGCCAATGCTTAACAGTTAGAAGTTCAAAACAGTACACCAGTTAGGCATATAAAAGTACACAATTTGCAAAGCATTTTGCCGAAGACGAAGAAACCCTTACACTAACCTACAGTAAAAACTACTCGTTCGGTACTCCACGATGAACATTATCTAAAAAACACATTAATATTGCTATCAAACATAGAGTGTAAAAGATTAAGGTCAAACTGCATGGTAGGTTTTCCAAAGGCACTTCAAGCAGTTTTGGATATACCAACTCAAATATGTCTGAATTGTGACAAGGCCAACTTTCTAGGTTGTCTCTTTTAACAGATGGCGCTGGAGTTGTCTTTTGGCTGTTCCATATGTAAACATACAAATGTTTACTTACCGACACACATTATACAAAATCCCTGTTGTTTGTACATAGGTCTAGTCAATTGCTTATCTCAAGATTTACTACATTATTAAGGCTTTGTATTTTAATCTCGCCTTTTAGGCGCCACTTTGTGCTTCATCTATCTTATCCAATGCTTCACATTTAAGATAGCTAACGCCAGCAAAACAAACTACGATTTCTGGGTACTTTAGTACTGTGACGACTACTTTGACAACATTTTTGCTAATAAAAATATTCATTGGCGTTTTTTTGGCTTATGCTTATAAATTGTTTTAAAAATAAAAGCCCTAATTATAAAGGAACAAAAACTTAAAAACTCCAAATCCAGAATTATATATATTATAAATAAACGCATATATATATATATCACCCGACACGATAATATATATATGGGGTCTAGTCTGGACACCGGTCGAGATCGATATCGGAAAACCAGTCGGGATTTTCTTTCCACTCGACAGCAGAGAGGAGAGCGAGTCTCGCCAAGGCCAACTAGATATCCCTAGATGGATCTACAGCGCAGTGGCTAAACGGTGCGATTAGGTAAGAGGTTATTCACACCCAAGGTCCGTAGAAATAACAGGTTAGCTCACTTGGGGTAAACAAACGAAAATGCGTTCTCTCTGTCTATTGGCTGTGCCGTCACTGAAGTTTTCTCTCCTCAGATCAACATAGATTTTTGCATTGATTTAAGCTGAATGTAAGCTTGTGCGCGACTGTAGAAACTCATTCGTTTTTTTTTCTCTCATATATAATTAAATTTATGTAGTATAATGGTTGGTACGCACTGCGCGATTGCATTATTCATCAATAATGCAGGCAAAATAAAAAATAATCAGCAAAATGTATTATTTCATAGGTATAGAAACTTATAGTGTTTTTTGATTTGATTGCAAGTTATTTTGAATTTTCGGGTTACTTAAATTAATTTATTCATTAATATATATAGAAACTTCTATGCATTTTATTAGGTGTTTTATTAAATGCCAACGGTTTTTGAATATTGTTGTGAATTGTGAGAGATGATAAAATATGTTTAATAGTTTAATTATGTGTTGTAGCCTGCATTAATTAATCGTTTACACATGAAAATGGACATGAACGCTTTTTCCAATTGAGCAACACCAGTGTTCACGATGGGCCTTCTCATACTTAGATTGGCTATTGTATGTAATGTACAGTCGGTCACAAAGTATTCGAACACCGGTACCCTATCAGAAAATGACAAGATGGCGTTTTTTTTTTTCTCTCTTTCTCTCTGTGTGTCGTGTTATTCCATCCTAGGTTTTCTTCTCCCCCCCCATCTTGGAAAAAAACTGGAAAAAATTGGTCACGATCTCTTTTTGAATGGGGAGATACCATTTTGAGAAAAAGCTGACGACCCTATCTTGGAGAATGAACATGACCGCTCTACACACCCTTTTACTCTCTCTCTCTTTTTGAATTGGGAAGCCATTTTGGGAAAAATGCAGACGACCCTATCTTGGAGAATGGAAATGAACGCCTCTCCCTCTCTCTTTGAAATGGGAAGCCATTTTGGGACCCTCTATTCTTGGGGAGGGAGAAAAACTGAAGTCTGCATTTCGCTGTCTCTGAATGCGGAAAGCCCTTTTGGGAAAAGCGGACCCTCTTCTTCTGATCTTGGAGAACTGGAAATGAACGCTCTACACGATCTCTCTTTGAATTCAGAAGGTATTTTGGGGACCTTCTAATGTTGGAAAAACTGAAATGAACGCTCTACACCTTCTCTCTCTCTCTCTTCTTTCTCTGAAATGGGTAGCCATTTGAAAACTCCCTAACTTTGGAAAAAAAACAGAAATGAACGCTCTACACCATCTCTCTTTGAAAATGGGGGGGTGTCATTTTGAGACCTCCCTCCCCTAAACTTGGAAAAAAAAACTGAAATGAACGCTCTACACTTTCTCTCTTTGGACATGGGTAGCCCTTTGGGGACCCTCTCCTCTTGGTAGGAAAAAAAAAGAACTGAAGTGAAGGCTCTACACAATCTCTCTTGGAATGGGATCCATATTTCGGGAAACGTGGATCACCTCATGCTGGAAAACTGAAGTGAACCACCAAGATTGGACTCTATATAATATTTTTTTTAATTGACATCATGACCCTCCTCCATTTGTTATTAAAAAAAATTGTTTTTTTTTTGTTTTGGTTTTTATCCCATTTCCGATGTGATTTCAGAAATGCAATTCCATAACAGTTCAATTTCATTCGAGGTTAAATGATCTAAACAGTCTTTGACCCACCCATCCGTATGATTATTTTCTTCTCCTTCCTGTTGCACCAAATTTTGTAAGTCCATATAATCATTCCATACGGGAAGGGCTGGATCCTCACAAGGCTGTCTTGAAACACTTGGAGTCTCTTTGGGATGAGTGGAGGGATCTAGGATGTCTGGACCCGGCTGCGATTCTACCTCCATGATTTCTGGACCCGTTGGAACTTGTTTACCCGGCTGAAATTCTACCTCCATGATTTCTGGACCCGTTGGAACTTGTGAACCCGGCTGTGATTCTGCCTCCATGATTTCTGGACCTGTTGGAACTTGTGGACCCGGCTGACATTCTACCTCTACGATGTCGGGACTTTTTGAAGCTTGTGGACCCGTCTGACATTCTACCTCTACGATGTCGGGACAGGTTGGAGGAGGAGGAGAAGAAGAAGAAGAGGATACTGGAAGAGGTTCTGTCTGTGAGGAGTCCGAAAGAGGTTGCCTGTTTGAACAAGTCGGGGAAGAAGAAGAAGAAGAAGCTTCTGGATTCTGAAGCGGATCTTGCACGCCAGGTAGGTTCCGGTAAGTCGACCGTTTTTTAAGAGGTAATTTTTTTTCTTCCTCCTCATCTTCAATTGTGATGACTTCAATTTCATTCCGTTGCCGGGTCGATTTTGTTTCGGGCCATAACGGTTTGGTCCAGCTCCTCTTATCATCTAAGGAAGGGATGGGTAAAGGTGGCGGAGGGTTTTCTTCTTCTTTTTCTTGAAACATCATCGGCGATTGGAAAGAAATCTCCTCTTTCAATTGTTTCCAAAGCGAGTACGAGCACCGATCGACGAGAAAGAGACTCTTCTGGGTTGTGACGATGAGATATTGCGTTTTCGGGGGAACGACATAGTTTTGAAAAGGTCTTAGAATATATTTCTTATATTTCATCCTGTCGCTGACTTTAAAACTTCTTTCCTTCAGATTGGGGGACGATGATTCGTAATAGGCGAGAGGAGCGGCTGTGGTTTGAACAATATGAACTTCGTCCTCAGCCGTCGTTCTCACTCCAAACGTAAAATATCGTTTCGTGAGAAAAATATTCTTCCACCGAAAACTCGTGCGCGGATCTGTATATCGCCGGTCTGTTTGAATGAGCCGTCTCAAAGCTCGATCCATCCGATTCCAAGAGAAGGGAGATTCCTCTTTCGTTTCTTCGTTTGCGATTCGAATAAATTTCTGTATATATTCTGAACGAGCAGGTTGGAGGATTCGACATCTTGGTTGAAAGAAACGATCGCTTGATGAGGTGGTAAATGCGGAATAAATGTCGCACAATGACACGCCAAAAAAATTTTCAAGTTGGAGATTTGCTTTAGCGTCTTCAAATCCTCCCCGTTCGAAATCCGTTGAGTTGGAAAAACGTCTAATAGCGACATGGCTCCCAATGGAAAAGAAATGATCTCGCCCAGTACTCTCGTCTTTTTATATATCTATATAGACACACACAGACACACATAGAGGCTCTATGACGTCCGTTTTATTTGTTTTTTTTTGTTTCTCTCTCTCTCTTCTTTCCAAGAAATCTTATCTCCATGACCTCTTTTTCTTTTCTTAAAAAGATGAATGTGTGTGGGAATGAGGAAGTGAAAGTAATAATTTAATAAACAAAAAATTATCCAACCATGACCTTCTTCTTTTTTTTTTCAAAGTCACCCTTTCCAATCCAAGGACGTCCAGAGATAGAGGAAGCAGGGAGAGAGGAGGAGGAGGGAAGGGAAGGTCACACTCTCTTTCTCTCTATAAATAAAAGGGGAGAGCCCCAAAGTCGTATTTTTGTCCAAGTGGATCATGAGGAGGCATCCCCAGCTCACTACGTGTATTCCTTTCAAATATAAATATGTTGATCTTTCCTTTTATATCATCCAAGGAGTCGTTTACCTGAAAGCCTCCGATTTTTCAAAATGTGCGGGTTATTATACCGTGGGGAGTTATCAAAAGATGCGGGGACGAATTTTTGTCCGACGAAAACGTGTTGATGGCTCGTGACATTCCACCTTTGGATGCACAAATTTTGTTAATGAAACGAGCCAAATATTTTTACACGTCCCACTTTCTAACCGTCTCGCAAATGAATAGGATTATGGATCGTCTTGAGAAGACAAAAGGGATTCTCGTTCATTTTAGTGAATGGTTGCACAAATGTTTGCACGAACCTCTCTCGATCGAGAAGACTGGGAAGAATACCTATTATATTCTTCTCGAGGACTCTCCTCCTTCGTCTCATCTTAGAGAGGCCACGACTTTTGAAAAAATCCTCGAGCAAGAAAAAATAGAATGGTGGAACAACAACTACCCCATCCCTCTCCCCGAGCATCAAGAGGAGCCTGTTCAGAAGAAAAAGAAAAAAAAAAACCTTTCCAAAAGCCTATCCTCATCCTCCTCGATAATGATGGGGATGAGGAGAAGCCTGTTCAGATTCCTCTCCGTTTGTCAAAACCCGTCGAGGATGAAAAACCTCTCCCTTCCTCAAAACCCCTTGAGGAAGAGAGAGACCCCTCGAGAAGGAGAGATCTCTCCCATTGTCAAACCTCCTCGAAGATGAAAAACCTCTCCCTTTCTCAAGACCCCTCGAGATGAAAAAAAACCTCTCCATTTATCAAGACCCCTCGAAAATGAGGGACCTCTCGATTTGTCAAAACCCCTCGAGGATAAGGGAACCAAAACTTCTCTCTCTTTCGAAGAGGAGGGACCTCTCAATTTGTCAAGACCCCTCAAGAATAAGGGAACCGAAAATCCTCTCCCTTTCTCAAGACTTCTCGAGGAGGAGGAGGAGGAGAGACCGCTCCATGTCTCAAGACAGGACCCCCCTCTATCTCT